CCATCCAGAGCCTCCGGTTTATAGACCGGATACGTCCTAAATATAGAGCCATTTATCCAACCATCCATCCAGAGCCTCCGGTTTTATAGACCGGATACGTCCTAAATATAGAGCCATTTATCCAACCATCCATCCAGAGCCTCCGGTTCATAGACCGGATACATCCTAAATATAGACCATTTATCCAACCGTCCATCCAGAGCCTCCGGTTTATAGACCGGATACATCCTAAATATAGAGCCATCGTTTTGAAGATGTTATGAAGGTGAAGGTGACAAGATTTTGGCAGTGACTGGATATGGGGCTTAAATAAGAAGTCAGAATCCATGATTACACATAGCATACTGGCATCTATGAAGATACCAATGGTTGCGCCATTGATCTCGTGGAAAAGTCGAGGGAGGGGCACAGGAGGGATGAAATATTATGAGTGCAGCTTTGGAAAGATTGAGTCTGAGAATGTGGTGTGGCTGCCATACTAATTTGTCAGATTTGAGTGTCTTGGCATATGAGGCGTGTAGTATAGTATAACAAGCGGTCCAAGAGAGATCTATGAGAACTATAGAGGAACCCTGTTGAGACATTCTTCATCCCAGTATAGTGCAAATTAATATTACTTTATCATTTGTTGACAGGGAGGAGAGTCCTGTTTAGATCATATGACCAAATCAATAAACATGGACCAAGATCAAAGCCAAGTGACTGAGAAGATATTAGACCTCTCCCTGGAGATCATCTACCTGCTGACCGGAGAGGTGAGGAGGATTCTGGGAGGTCACATGACATCACTCTCATCTCTATTAATAAAACACAGACCTGACCGGAGAGGTGAGGAGGATTCTGGGAGGTCTTTAGTGAACATTGTCTCAATTCACTCAGGATTATAAAGTGGTGAAGCAAATATCTGGAGATCCATTACCATCCAGCAGACATCTTCACAGGCCATCACCCATCATAGTACCTCCACCTCACTGCTTGACAACAGAGGGAACCAGTGCCAAGAAGATTCTAGAAGTCACCCAGAAGATCATTGATCTGCTAACAGGAGAGGTGAGAGGAATTCTGGGACATTCTCCAGTAACAGACAAGGAATGTGTCTGGATGGTGACTGTATCATTGTGTGTGCAGGTTCCTATAAGGTGTCAGGATGTCACTGTCTATTTCTCCATGGAGGAGTGGGAGTATTTAGAAGGACACAAGGACCTCTACAAGGACATCATGATGGACAATCAGCCGCCCCTCACATCACCGGGTAAGAGGAGACTTTATTGGAAAGGAGAGAGCAGTACGGAGGGTCCATCTAGATCCCCCATCATCTGATAAATAGATAGAAACAATGGATTCAGTCAGTGTGTGTGTTTCCTACAGATGAATCCAGTAATGGGAACCCACCAGAGAGATGTCCCTGTCCTCTGTATTCCCAGGATTCCACACAGGAAGATCACACCATCCCTCACCATCATCAGGTAGATGGATCCAGTCATGGGAACCCACCAGAGAGATATCCCCGTCCTCTGTATTCCCGGGATTCCACACAGGAAGATCACACCATCCATCGCCATCATCAGGTAGGTGAGACTGAGCATGGACACCTTAAAATGTACTCTAAATTATGGGACAACATTATTCTTTGTACGTTCATACTCCTTTTTACAAAAATATTCCATCATCTTTGGGGTTTAGGGTGAAGAACTGAAAGACATCAAAGCTGAGGAAAAAGAAGAAGAGATGTTGGTGGGTGGAGATCAGCAGTCTATAGAGGAGCGTGGTCCTCTGTACTCCAGGGATTCAACACAGGGGCATCAAAGCATCACTCTCCATGTTCAGGTAGAGAATATTGGGCTATAGCACTCTTACAAGTATCTACACCAGTGGTCCCCAAACTGCGGCCCGGGGGCCAGATGCATCCCTTTGATTGCCTCTATCCAGGCCTTGGGACACTATTCCTCCCTTTGACACTGTAGATGGGGCAGTATTCCTCCCACTGATACCAATGATGGGGCACTATTCCTCCCACTGACACCAATAATGGGGCACCATTCTTCCCACTGACACCGATAATGGGTCATGATTCCTCCCACTGACACTGTTGATGGGACACGATTCCTCCCACTGACACCAATAATGGGGCACGATTCCTCCTAATAATACCAATGATGGGGCACTATTCCTACCATTGACACCAATGATGGGGCACTATTCCTCCCACTGACACCAATAATGGGGCACCATTCTTCCCACTGACACTGATAATGGGTCATGATTCCTCCCACTGACACTGTTGATGGGACACGATTCCTCCCACTGACACCAATAATGGGGCACGATTCCTCCCAATTATACCAATGATGGGGCACTATTCCTCCCATTGACACCATCAATGGGGCACTATTCCTCCCACTGACACCATCCATTGGACACTATTCCTCCCATTGACACCATCATCAAGGGGCACTATTCCTCCCACTGACACCATCAATGGGGCACTACACCCACTGACACCAGTGATGGGGCACTATTCCTCCCACTGACACCAATGATAAGGCACTATTCCTCCCACTGACACCAATGATGGGGCACTATTCCCCCCACTGACGCCAGTGATGGGGCACTATTCCTCCCACTGACACCAATGATGGGGCACTATTCCTCCCACTGATACCAATGATGGGGCACTATTCCGCCAGCTGACACCAATAATGGGGCACTATTCCTCCCACTGATACCAATAATAGGACATGATTCCTCTCTCTGACACCAATAATGGGGCACTATTCCTGCTGTTAAAACCAACAATGGGGAATTATTTCTCCTGTTAAAACCAATGATGGGGCATTGTTTACTCTTACTGAAGCTGGGACATTGTCTACTCCCACCGTCTGGCCCCCTAAAGCCTGAAGGACACTAAACTGGTCCTTTGTTTAGGAGTTTGGAGACCCCTGTTCTAGACTATGAGATAATAATTTTCCTATGTAATCCTTTATTATTGAAAGTTAATTTTTCCAGATGTTTTTTTGATCATTTTCAGGTACAGAGTGAAGAAGTAAAAGACGTCAAAGTTGAGGATCAAGAGGAAGAAGAAGAGACGTTGGTGAGTGGAGATCAGCAGTCTATGGAGGAGGGGGAGATGATTATGGAAAGTAAATCGGAGGAACCTTCTCTACATATGGACACAAGTGAGTAACGAACATTTTTACTGCTATGAGTATGAAGAATATTTCTTTTGTTACTTGGGTTGACACGAGATATATAATATGAAGTATTCAACTCAAAAGAATAAAATAAATCTTAAACCTACAAGAGATTCAGAGGAAGACATAAACCCATGTGAGGCTTGGGGTCAGCAACCAGTAGATCTCGATCTGGGCTCACTGACCCTCCACCCCAGAGCATCAGAGGGACTACCTGTAAAGTTGGAGCTGTAGTAGGGAGCAAGAGCTGCGTAAGCCGATGGCTCCTCTGTCCCATGCGGAGTGATACCAACTATACTCCACCTCTTATCCTGGCTAGCGGTCTCCAGAGTGGTGCCACCAGCAGGAAGGAGGAGATCTTCAGGTCAAGGTGAAGCAATACACTGTATAGGGCTGCTTTGACACTGATGTGTTGCGGTTTGAGAGGTGGTAGTACGGCAATTAGAGGTTTAAATCTGTTCCCGGTGATCTTTGATGTCTCTCACGTTGTTCAGGTAGATCTCCACCTCTTAGAGGTGGCCCACCTCTGGTGTGACGGTGGCACCCAGTTTCACATCCGATTGTTCTTACCGTTGCACCAACACAATGTATATCACTACTGATTAGATTTGAAACGTATCTTTAATTTTTATGAAAAAAAATGTGTTCTCCTACAGGTGAACGTGTTCTAGGTATCTCAGAAGGAGGCCCAATCTTGTTTGAAGACCACAAGGCAGAAGATGATGACGTCACACGAGGTTCTCCAGGAAGACATCTCAGTGCTCATCCCAGACCTTACCACTTGGAGAGATCCATGGATCCCTCTTATCCTGAGGAATCCTCTGACCATTCTCATAATAAGACCTCAGATGTCCATCAGAGACCTCACGGTGAGAATAGATTCACAGATCCATCGAATCCCGAGGAATCCTCTGACCATTCTCATAATAAGACCTCAGATGTCCATCAGAGACCTCACGGTGAGAATAGATTCACAGATCCATCGAATCCCGAGGAATCCTCTGACCATTCTCATAATAAGACCTCAGATGTCCATCAGAGACCTCACGGTGAGAATAGATTCACAGATCCATCGAATCCCGAGGAATCCTCTGACCATTCTCATAATCTCAGATGTCCATCAAGACCTCAGATGATCAGAGACCTCACGGTGAGAATAGATTCACAGATCCATCGAATCCCGAGGATCCTCTGACCATTCTCATAATAAGACCTCAGATGTCCATCAGAGACCTCACGGTGAGAATAGATTCACAGATCCATCGAATCCCGAGGAATCCTCTGACCATTCTCATAATAAGACCTCAGATGTCCATCAGAGACCTCACGGTGAGAATAGATTCACAGATCCATCGAATCCCGAGGATTCCTCTGACCATTCTCATAATAAGACCTCAGATGTCCATCAGAGACCTCACGGTGAGATAGATTCGCAGATCCATCGAATCCCGAGGAATCCTCTGACCATTCTCATAATAAGACGTCAGATGTCCATCAGAGACCTCACGGTGCGGATAGATCCACAGATCGATCGAATCCCATGGAGACCTCTTTATGTGATGGAGATCACAAGGGAGAGAGTTCATTATCGGCATTGGATTGCGAAGAAAATCTCACCCTAACAGACCACTAACTACACAGCAGAGCAGTCCCTTGCATGAGAATCCCTTTTTTTCGTGTACCGAGTGCGGGAAATGTCATAATACGAAACAAAGCTTTCTCGTACACTACAGAATTCATACAGCCAATCGTCCATTTTCATGTTTGGAGTGTGGCAAATGTTTCAGAAATAGACAACATTTTGTTATACACCAGAGGAGTCACACAGGTGAGCGGCCCTATTCCTGTTCAGAGTGCGGGAAATGTTTCACTCATATAGGAAACCTCCTCACACACCAGAAAACTCACACGGGTGAACGTCCTTATTCATGCCTAGAGTGTGGGAAATGTTTCAGTCAGAAAGCAAGCCTTGTAAGACACCATAGAGGTCACACGGGTGAGCGCCCCTATTTGTGCTCAGATTGCGGAAAGTGTTTCACCGAGAAAAAAGTACTTCTTATACACCAAAGAATTCATACAGGGGAGCGTCCATATTCATGTTCAGAGTGCGGGAAGTGTTTCACTGAGAAAAAAGTACTTATTATACACCAAAGAATTCATACAGGGGAGCGTCCATATTCATGTTCAGAGTGCGGAAAATGTTTTATTCGAATAGAAGAACTTCATAAACATCAGAAAATGGGTCACTCTAATCAGGAGTCATTCAATTTAGAAGATACTGCAACTCCAGAGACACATCTAGTAGGATCTCATGCTACGGAGAGATCACAGGATCCATCCAATCCCAAAGAAACTTCCTCAAGCTCTGAAGGAGTTCACAGGGGACAGAAATCATTGTCATGTTTGGTGTGTGGGAAATGTTTCACTAAAAACAGAGACCTTTTTAGACATCATAAAATTCACACGGGTGAGCGTCCTTATCCATGTTTAGAGTGCGGGAAATGGTTCAGTGAGAAAGGAAACCTTCTTACGCACCAGAAAATTCACACAGGTGAACGTCCTTATTCATGCTCAGAGTGCGAGAAATGTTTCACTCAAAAGGCAAGCCTCCTAGACACCAGAGAGGTCACACAGGTGAACGTCCTTATTTATGTTTGGAGTGTGGGAAATGTTTCACTGAGAAAAAAGTACTCCTCAGACACCAAAGAATTCACACAGGGGAGCGTCCTTATTCATGTTCAGAGTGCGGGATGTGTTTTATTGGGATAGATGAACTTCGGAAACATGAGAGAATTCACACGGGGGAGAATCCCTTTTCATGTTCAGAGTGCGGGAAATGTTTCACTGAGAAAAGGAGTCTTCTTAGACACCAGAGAAGACACGTGGGGGAGCGTCCTTATTCATGTTCAGAGTGCGGGAAAAGTTTCACTGAGAAAGGCCAACTTCATAGACACCAGAAAATTCACACAGGTGACAGGCCTCATGCATGTTCGGAGTGCGGGAAATGTTTTATGGAGAAACAACAATTGCATATACACCAGAGGATTCACACGGGGTGAGCGTCCTTTTCCATGTTCAGAGTGCGGGAAATGTTTCACAACCAAACAAGTCTTACTTATACACCAGAGGAGTCACACAGGTGAGAGGCCTTTCTTATGTTTAGAGTGCGGAAAATGTTATATTCACAAAGGGGACCTTCTTAAGCACCAGAGAGTGCACAGAGATTAATACCTTTTTTCATGTTCAGACTGGGGGGGGGGGGGGGGGGGGGGGCCATTTCACTTGGAAAGAACACCAGGGGAGGAGCACTTTTTATGTTCAAAGTGTGGGAAATGTTTTACATCTGAAGGAAATGTAATTGGGCATCAGAGAACACACCCTTGGTGACTTTGTTGACAAATGTATGGTATGTCTAGCCAGCGGTGTATTTACCATGAGGCAAACAATACGGTGTATTTACCATGAGGCGTTTGCCTAGGGCAGCAATTTTTAGGGGGGTGACACAGCCCCACCCAGAAGAAGGGATCTGTTGAGCAGTGGTGGGCAGACCCACGCAGGGCCCCCATCTGAGGGGTACCACCGGTAGTCCTGTAGGTGGCCCGGACAGCAGGAGGATCAGTTTGGTGGGGGAGGGCAGTTGCAGAATGATGCCCTGTGTTTCTTTCTCTCCAGCAGCTGAAATTCGGTTTCTCCCCCCCCCCCTCCACAGGCTTTCTGCTGCTGGAGGGAGAGACAGACCTGGCCAGACCGAGGGGGTGCCCTGGTGCTCCTGAGTGGCTGCTGAGCTCCTTCCCCTGCCCGCACTCAGAGCCAGAACCAGGGGAAAGCCTGGAGCAGGGAGAGGAGAAGTGGTGGAGAGGAAAGAGGTGGGAGGAGGTGTGGGCTGTGTTGTGTTCTCCAGGATCTCCCTCCTGTCAGAACACACTCGTCCATTCTGCACACACACGTGTAATACAGATTTTGGGAAGGGGGGGGTGGTATTTGCTAGGAGGAATGGGGGAATATGTACTAGTTAGGGGAGAGAGGGAAGACTGAGAGAGAAGACAGAGAGAGAGTGAGGGAAGAGTGGGGAGAGGGAAAAGTGAGAGAGAGAGAAGGAAAGAGAGAGAGGAAGATGGAAGAGAGTGGGAAGAGGGAGGGAGAGGGAAAGAGAGAGTGGGAGGGGGGAGGGAGAGGGGAGCGGGAAGAGAGAGGGGAGAGGAAAGAGAGAAGAGCGAGGGAAGGGAGAGGGAAGAGAGTGGGGAGAGGGAAAAGTGAGAGAGAGAAGGAAGAGGAAGATGGAAGAGAGAGTGAGAAGAGGGAGAGGGAAGAGAGAGGGGGAGAGGTAGGAGAGAGAGGGAAGAGGGGGGGGGGGAGAGGGGAGAGGAAAGAGAGAGGGAGAATGGAGAGGGAAGGGGGAGGGAGAGGGAAGAGAGAGAGGGGAGAAGGAAGAGAGAGAGAAGGGAGAAGAGAGAGGGGGAAGAGGGAGAGAATCATGTATACACACACTCATTGAACTCTCTCGCTCTCTCATTGGGGGGGGTTCACAATTTTTGTGTCCTAGGGCAGCACAAAACCTAAATCCAGCCCTGCATCTAACAGGTGGAACGATCAGTTCACACAACAAATGCATGACTACGATAATGAGCTATTAAAGTGCATGAGCTCATGACGTTCCGGCAAACCTTTGGTTTCAGTCACAGGTAGAGTGATGGCCGGAGCCCCTCCTGTCTTCTTTGGAGACTCCGGTGGTGAGGTGCGCAGTTCTCTCTCTTCAGTATCTCTAGAGATAGAAGTATACCTTTTGTAGTCCAACAAGCCTCAGGTTCTCTGGGGGAGACATAGACCAAAATGGTGTACTATGCATGCCGCAAAGTATTGGGGGTTCAGCAAAGATGACTTCATTTTTTGTGTGGTTTGGTAATCATGGGAATCAATTAAGTAAGGCAACAGCACCGAACTGTGGTTATGTACGGGCAAACATGGCACCGCGCTGTCAATGGTGAGAAGAAGGTGGGTAACACAATGGCTACCAGGACAAAGCATGGACAGCCATCCCTATACGTGTGCAACAAGCCAGCAATGAGGCTCATGGGTCCGGCTAGTATACACGGCTCAAAAAAATGAAAGGAAGACTTTGAAAACCCATCAGACCTCAATGGGGAGGAATCTCCTGCTGGATCTCTGTACTGGCGTGGACAGGGTAATGTGTGAGGAATATAAGGACCACCAAAACGGTCATGGTGAACCATGTTACAGACAGCAGAACGTTCTCCACGGCTTCTCCAGACCCTTTCACATCTGTCACGTGCTCAGGGTGAACCTGCTGTCATCTGTGAAAAGCACAGGGTGCCAGTGGTGGACCTGCCAATTCTGGGGTTCAATTGCCAATGCCAATCCAGCTCTATGGCGCCGCAGTGAGCACAGGGCCCACTAGAGGATGTCAGTCCCTCAGGCCACCCTCATGAAGTCTGTTTCTGATTGTTTGGTGTGAGACTACCACTGGCCTGCTGGAAGTCATTTTGTAGGGCTCTGGCAGGGCTCATCCTGTTCCTCCTTGCACAAAGGAGCAGATACCAGTCCTGGTGATGGGTTAAGGACCTTCTACGGCCCTGTCCAGCTCTCCTAGAGTAACTGCCTATCTCCTGGAATCTCCTCCATGCTCTTGAGACAGTATTGAGAGACATAGCAAACCTGGCAATGGCACGTATTGATGTGCCATCCTGGAGGAGTTGGACTGCCTGTGTAACTTCTGTAGGGTCCAGGTATGGCCTCATGCTACCAGCAGTGACACTGACCCTAGCCAAATGCAAAACTGGTGAAAAACAGTCAGAAAAGATGAGTAGGGAAAAAATGTCAGTGGTAAAACCATTCTTGTTTTGGGTGTTGTCTCAATGTTGCCCATCTAGTGCACCTGTTGTTAATTTCATGAACACCAAAGCAGCTGAAACTGATGAACTCTGCGACTTACCTGACCAGATCAATATCCCGGGAGTGTCATGGACTTGAAGCTAGACTCTGATGACAGAGTTTTCCTTTCATATTTTTGAGCCGTGTACAAGATTTGTCCGGAAAATATCCAGCCATGTCATGTGAAAGATAAGGCAAGCAATGAGAAACTTCCATTGGTGCAGGTGACATATGATAAATTTGCGGTCTCTTTGTACCTCAGCAGTTTGACAAGATTGTATGTTAATCAGTTATTCTAAATTTGATACAAAATAAACAAGACTTTACACATTTCAATATACTGTTTATGAGGGTTTTTTTTTACAATAGACAAATATCCTTGGAAGATTGCTGATTGGAATGTGCTTGGTTCCTGTGGAGTGATTCATTGCCATTTTACTAGCGGAGAGGAAACTCCGGAAAGGGAAAGTTCCACAGGTCTGTAGGCTGAGGTTGCCTTGGACATGAAAGGTTTGAAACCCAGGTCACTTGAACATGGAGACTATATTTTACAACACTAAGACCTTTTAAAACTCAAGAATGATCTACTAACTGCTAAAACCAATGGCCACTACTCCATACTCATCCCAACCAATGGCCACTACTCCATACTCATCCCAACCAATGGCCACTACTCCATACTCATCCCAACCAATGGCCACTACTCCATACTCATCCCAACCAATGGTCTCTACTCCATACTCATCCCAACCAATGGTCTCTACTCCATACTCTTACTACTTGACCTCTCTGTGGCTTTTGATATGGTTGACCATCCCCTCTTCCTTAAAAAACTCCACTCTCTTGGCCTCCGAGACTCTGCTGTCTCCTGGTTCTCCACCTACCTATCGCAGCGCTCCTTCAGTGTTACCTATAACTCTGGCTCCTCCTCTTCACTCCCCCTCTCTGTTGGGGTCCCTCAAGGTTCTGTCCTTGGACCCCTTCTCTTCTCCATCTACACCTCCTCCCTTGGTCACTTGATAAACTCCCATGGCTTTAAGTACCATCTCTATGCTGATGACACACAAATCTATCTCTCTCCTCACCTCACCCCTTCAGTCTCCACCCGCATCACTAACCTACTAAGTGACATATCGGTATGGATGTCACTCCACTTCCTGACTGCCAATAAATTGTTTTAAGGAAGGTTCCCGTAGAGGGGAAAAAAATCCAAGACTTCTTATGGTGTAAATAGGTTGAAAAAGGGCTGCTTTAAGCTATGGAGGAAACTTTGGACATTCTTTGTTTTCCCAATTAGATG